GTTTAGGGGTTTAGGGTATAGGGTCTAGGAGAGCTCCAGAAGCTTTTCTTTTCACCTAGGGGCTCTGACCGCAGCAACCTCGTAGCAGTTAGATCCGTTGTGAAAGAGCCTTGACGTTTAACCCCATAACCCTAGACCCACATGCCCACAAATCCAAACCTAAACCCTAGACCCCGAACAGCCCGCAACCCTCGCGACCCTAAACCCTGAACCCTGAACCCTAAACCTTTCTAGTAACCCTCAGCCCCTCCCAAAAGCACGCGTTTTAAGCGAGGGTCATCTTCCCCCTCACCGGTGGCCTCGGCTCGCCGACTACGACGAGCACCTCGGGCTCTGAGGTTTGGCGGGGCGGAATGTAGGGGCCTAAATAATTACCAATACTTACAGGTTTAGGGTTTAGGGTTTAGGACTATTCTGGGGGGGTTCCGTATTATAATTTTAGCATACTGGGCCCCAAAGCCCTATTCTAATTATTAAGGTCCCTATATTAAGGTGAGCGGTTCTTGGTCGTTTTCGGAGGGGTGTTGGTGTTGTGTGAGATCCAGTAAGTTGTGGTTTTACAGCGCAGGGTTAGAGGGTGAGCGAGCATGGACATGAAGTCCAGGTATCGACAAGCAAGATTGGCCCGGAGATTACCTCACCATGCAGACCAACACTACAAACAAGCCAAGCAATTTGACTTCTTTGTGTGTTTCTTGGACCCTTTGGCTTGGGGTTCCTCTGGCTTTGTGTTTACGACGGTGTGCTTAGTCATTCTACTGTGGCAGATCGGGAAGCCAAAATTTTAACAGACCCGACCTGCAGTGGCCGTGCATGCAGCGGCTACTGAGCTCAAAAAACAGCTTGCCCAATCAGGGCCCCAGTTGCAACCTAAACCCTAAACCCCTAACCCCTAAACCCCTAAACCCTGAACCCTGAACCCTAAACCCTAAACCCCACAACCCTAACCCCTAAAATTCACGAGCAGCTTGCCTGTCGAGTTGCTTGTTTTGGGGAAGGAAGGCACCTGATAGCCCTAGTTACCCTATAAGGTTAACCCTGATAACCCACTTTCACCGAGCTGCAGCCAAGGCTCCCGTCGATCCTGAGCCTCACGGAGCTTCTGCTGGATATCACCCCAGCAGCTCGGAGAGGTTGGTTCCGGTTTAGGGTTTAGGGTTTAGGGTGTAAGGTTTAGGGTTTAGGGTTTAGGGGTTTAGGGTTTAGAGGCGGCAGCTTAGCGCCTGTCTGCCACTCAACCAGCTGAGTCATGCGAGACTGTGCCTTCGAAGACCGTGCTAGTTCTTGATAGCGGATCCGATCTTTTTCAGGCTTCCGCGGTTTGTGTGGTTCCCTCTTTTCAGATGTACGGCCAGAAGCAGGTATCAGCAAACTCGAACTGTGTGTACGGTCACTGCATGGTAAGCTTTTCAGTTTGAGAAGGATGTGCGGATGTTTAGACTATAGCAAAGCATAAGGGACAGGGACGAGAACCCTGCAATGCACCTGTTGACCTGGCGCCTCCTTCGTCGTTGCCGGGCGGAATAGCCGCGGACATGAGCCGCAACCCCCTTAATCCGAACCTTGATCATTGAAATCCTTCCAACCCAAAGGGTCCACATATCTGCACGTGTGTGTAAATAAATAAATAAATATATATATATATATATATATATATATATATATTATACACATGTGTGTATAAGTTGTATCATATTTCTACGAGATTATTGCTATTTCATTCTTGTGGCTCAAGTTCAAGCATGCTATGTTAGAATGTGTCGTACAATGTTAAGGTCTATCTGATGTTGTTTCGATAATGCATCTGATGATTTGTGATATTATTTTTTTGCTTATATCATCCTATATTATACCATGTCCTAACCCTAAACCCTTATTACCCCTGACAACGAATCTCGAAGGTCATGGTCCTCACCTACAGGCAGGCGACCGAGGCTCTCATTTTCGGAGTTTGGCGGAAAAGCAGGCGTTAAAGACAATCCCTGGCTCTATGAAGGTATAATGCCGCTTGTGACTTCGTAGAGTTTTAGACCGAAACTCAGAAGAAGCTTGTAAAACCCTGAAAGTTTGCATTGTTTCCTTGTTGCTGTCCGGATTTTCAGCCCCGTGAACTCCGACAGAAGGATTTAGGTCTGAGCATGGGGCCGTGGAAACCCTTCTCCCCAAGCCCGTCAGACCCAAAACCCTCACATTTTTGCCCTTGATTCTCTGAAACCGAATGGACACCTTAACGCCCTTCGTCCGAACTTCGCATGTTTCGCAGGCACAGGAGATGCTAAAGCAGCTGCTGAAAGCGCCGGAGATGCGGCTTGGCATCGATGCCATGGCGTTCTTGTGGTTTCGGGTTTGGGGCTAGAAGAGTCTTAGAACTCAGAGTCTTTAGTTTGCAGGAACAAGGAGTTCAGGGAAAGGGGTCTGCAATCAGTAGTAGGGTCAATTGGGGTCAGTTCCATTCGTGTGACCTTTTGCCGCTGATGAGGCTGCGAGGTGGGCATCCAAAATCAGCTGTTGAAGCTAATCCAGGGGTCGGAATGGTTCGACATCCATGGCGCTTAGATTAGTCAATGAAGTCTCCATATAGCTTCGGAATAGTCTAATGTTCACAGCTTCTATATATGAACGTTCACAGCTGCACGTGCTTCGAACCCCAGGTCCTAAAAGGCCCTAACTGACTTGTGGCTACGACTACAGCTACCCGACCAATCTTCAAATCATGCTGCTGCATGAGGCAGTATGTAAAGCCCGTAGCCAACCGAGGGCTTTATCAGTTATGAGTAAACCCTAAACCCTAAACCCTAAACCCTAAACCCTAAACCCTAAACCGGGGTTCTAGAAGGGTTCCAGTTTTTTTGAGACGGTTTTACAAGGGCCCTGGAAGAGTTCTAGAAGTTTGCTTGTTAGGAGCTTGTGCGATTCGTCGTGGTTTTTTCCTACAACCCTAAGCCCTAAACCCTAAACCCTAAACCCTAAACCCTAAACCCTAAACCCTAAGCCCTAAACCCTAAACCCTAATTTTGAAACCCTGAAGCCAGGCCCCAGGCTCAAAAGAAGGCCCAGACCTGAAAAGCCCAAAGCCATAAACCCTAATAGGTTTAGGGTTTAGGGTTTAGGGTTTAGGGTTTAGGGTTTAGGGTTTAGGTTTAGCCATAAACCCTAATATAGGGGCCTTAATAAGTAGAATGGGGTTCCTTTAAAGGGATCCTTTAAAGGGTTCCTTTAAAGGGTTCCTTTAAAGGGTTCCTTTAAAGGGTTCGAGAAGGGCTCCTATAAGGGTTTAGGGTTAGGGGCCTTAATAACTAGAATAGGGTTTTGAGGATATTTTCACTATAACTATACTGAGGAACCCCCCAAAACCCTATTCTAATTATTAAGGGCCCGACATTAACACTTCCCAGTGCAAGGTTGGGTTTAGGGCTTGGGGGTTTAGGGTTTGGTGCAATGCCTTACACCCTTGAACTTACACGCCAGCCCTAGATTGCGATAACCCTTAAACCCTTGCACCGTTATCCTTCACATCTTTTCATTTTGCAAAGCCCTAAACAACGTAAGCTGACCTTTTGACTCAGGACTCTTCAAGTGGATGCACTGGAGAAGAAGTTTGCAGACTCCTACGACACCTGTCTTTCGTTGCCCCCGTAAGGAAGCCATCACGGAACGCAAAATAAGCCTCACGAGAAGCCACAGCCTGTAATGTAAGCCACACCCAAACCTAGACCTTAATCCCCAAACCCTGATCCCTAGACCCTAAGCCTTGTGCGCACAGGCAGTGTTCTATCGGGCGAGGGCCAATGTGCCGTCTTGGGAATCAAACCCTGAGCGTGAATGGTTTTCAGAATTTTTTGAAAAATAACACTAACCCCCCAGGTACCCCCTATATAAGGTACTAGAGCCCCTGGGGCCCTTTATAGTAGGTACCTGGGGGGTTAGGGAGGGGCCAGGGTTGAGGGGTTTATAGCATCCTGTACGTAGGACCTTTGGGGTCCATTCGGCGTAGGGCTTGGCTCTGTGTATGAACACATATGTATATATATATA